GTCCAAAACTATTTAATTGAATTAGCTTATTAATTGGCTAAACTGACACTATGAAAGGAAACGACAGAACATCACTGATAACTGAAATTTCAATTAGCAAAAACACATGTCCTAATATAGAGAAAGCTAAGTTTTACTGGTAGCGATGGATGAACATTGAATGAATCGTATGCTATTTTTAGAAAATAATATATTAGAAATATTACATGGGCGTGGCTACAGAAGCAAATTTCGACTCGAAAGTTCTAGTCGCTCATGACATTAAGATTTGGCTAGAGGTCCTTCCTGATTCAACGAGATTAATTAGTTTACAACAATGCAATTGAAATTCACAGATTGTAAACAAATAGGTGCTTAATTACGCACCTGCTCCACGAAGTGGCACCAACGTTGATTTCTAAGCCTCGCTCCTCCCGTTTGGGTTTGCGATCAAGTTATTTTTATCGTAAGCAGAGTATAAACATTCTTCACTCGATTGTTATGCTGAAATCCACTCTGATCCCTGAGCGGCACCGAAATAAAGGAGGGTAATTTAAGACCTGGTGAGAAACTGTTATCCTCTCTTGACCGACAGTGCATAATTGCAAATTGTGGTCAAAGGACTGGTTGATCTTGCATGCTGACATTGCGCGTTATCGACAGAAGTGGGAGACAGCGATCTGGATGCGATTGGATGACAGTAACCAGCAGTGATGACAGCCGTATGAGTAATGAGACAATTCGATAATTATTCGACTTCATCCTGGACCAACCGCTCATAGACCTAAATCTGATAGTAAACGCTGTGCTAAGGCTAGAGGCAAGTGAACACTTATGCTGTCACATCTGCAGCCGCGTTTTCAAGACAGCTTCTTCGCTTAACATTGCATCTAATTGTGCTCCTGCCATTTCCATGGTCACAAGTAAATGAACTAAATTCTGAATAATGACTAATATCCGAAATTCACCATCAGAGCAGGAGGCTAAGCATCAGCAGAGCAGACGATCAATTTTCAGCAGTGGCAGAGCACAATGGTATCGTCCTGTGGTAATCTAGCAAAATGATTCAATAAAAAGAAGCTGGAAGAAACCTAAGATAATGGAATCAATGAAAGCTGAGCAGATCAGCAACAAACCGGATAAACGAGAAGAGACACGAAGAATTAACTCAGCTAGATTATCATTTCTGCAGTATCACCGTTCCAGTACCTAACCATGTGTACTATTGGCATTTCGTTTTATATTAATAGCTTTGCTTTTGCACAATCTGATGAAACTTCATCCATCGCAACTTAAAAATCAAACCACTTAATCGGTTCCATTCAAGCTGTCATCCAACAGGAGCAAAAATACTAAAACCTGACCCTTCCTGCACATTGCTTACCACCATGAGATACAACATCGTTATAGATTTTGCTCCAGATGAATTTATGGCCGCTCACTCGTCAGTCCGTTTTAATTTGTTTCAACTATAATTCAAATTTGTACATAAATGTGCTTAGTTCAATAAATTATTTATAAAAAATTAATTTCAGACTAATGCCTCGATCAGTTTGAAAGCAATGTAATAAATAACTTGTTTGTGTACAAAATATCAAAGGCTTGTGTTTGATTTTCTTTGTTTCTAACAAGCCAATTGTGATTTCTGCTGTTGACCAATTGAAACATTCCTTCCGAAGAATCAAACTTCTCGGTTCTGCCTGATTTTTTGGCGAATGATGGCAAGATTCACAATATCCCTTCAAGCACCAATAAAGTTAAAAATCGAAACTTTTGCATCCATAAATTCTGATATGCCCCAATCTGATGAAAGCATACAGAGATATGTCAATCCACAGACTTAACTTCATCACTAGTCAATGAAAGGTTTTCGTTGCTACCATGGTAGGTCTTCTCTTCTTTCCACGTGTTATGCAGATCAAAGTTTCAAACCGAAACTAGAAAATAAGCTGAGAGCAGCATCCCAGGATTTGTGTTATTCTGTAGAGTGACATTATTGAGGTTGCAAAGAGGATATGATAGTAAGATTTGCACAATAAGCTTATCCGCGTCACTCTCGATCCGCTGTTAGTTAATGAAAACATTCTCTTCTTCCCTCATCTTGTTACGCCATCCTGTACAATGACTTTTATTCTTACCACCCATGATTCTATGCTTCTTTGTATAATTATCTTTCATTTTCTTAGTTTAGGCCAAAATCACTGAGTACGTGGCCACGGTCAAATTCTGAAGATAATCTGCAGCGATTTTGAATCTCAAGAGTGCGAGCCAGTTGTAGGATGGATGGCTTAGTTTGTCCTCTGGGTGAATGATTTGCTTTATTTTTGTACCAGAGTCGTAACCTGTATTCGAAGCAGGTCGAATGGTATTAGCCTTACCGTAAGAATGCCAACTAGGAGAGATTCGATTATACATGGACAGCATGTTCAGAGGTGTAACCATTTATTCGCAATTTTAATTCCTTAATAGAGGCAGTCTAACAGAGCTTAATGGAATCTTAATTGCTTGCAGAAACATAGAATCCATGAACAGTTGCTACGAACCACCCAGCCAGTGTGTATACTGATAGCAGGTGTCGTGCCAACGTAAATGGCCTTGAGTCGCGATCTTTTAACTTTTATACAGGTCCCTGCCAGCGCTACCCTTTTCTGTTGCTGTTGTCCATGGATAGAATAGTCACCCTCAGAAAGGATGTGTATTAAATTAGGACATGTCGAGGTGTTAAATTTGCTGTTTGTTGACCTCTACTGAAACTCATCTCCATCTCTGTTTAGAAAGGTTTGTAGCTGAGTGCAATGTCAACAGCAGCTATGAGGATTGATGGTTGAGCAGTGGCAACAGGAAGGAAAGTTCATGTATGCCGGGATCATGTTGTGAGTGATGGACAATAGGAGAAGGAAATCGCGTAACGAAATGGTATGACCAGCGTCGCTCAAAGCGAACTATCCAGACTAAGGCAGAGTTGAGTCTGAAAACGAGGTTGCATGTGTTCAGGTAGATTTTCATCCTCATGCTAACCTTTGGTCATGAGTCGAGCTTTGTGAGAAGAATCACTGTGCTCACGGGTCTCGACAGAGCCAAAAGTTACGATATTCGGATAAGTCTTGGTGTACATCTGCTCTTTCTCAAGACTGACAAGTAACGGCTGAGCTGTAATGGTTTTCACACGTCTTGTGAATGGTTCCAGAAGGGAAGGCGAAACAGCTGCCACTTTCTCAGTCGACCGTCCAAAGGCCCAAAGGAAGGCCAAAAATGGGTGAGACAAGCGCCTCGACGGATTTTACTATGATCTTTGGTTTTTCTTCTGCCGAAGCTGAGACTCTGGCGCAAGATCGGAAACATTGTCTTGACGCTGCCTCGTCGACCCAAAATGATAACCGGTCATCGAAATTGACTCACACATAACTGACGGATAGAGGCAGCCATGTTGAGTTGATCGCGTAAGTTTCCTCCTATGTGTTCATATTGCGTTTCGTTCGTTCGGTTGTTCGCTTTCCCAAATCTGCCTCTTTCTCTAATTCGTTCTTTAGTACGCTGTGCTCACCCCAGCAGATTAGATTTTTAATCCAGTTTTGTGAGACAAGCCTGCCGTCCCTTAATCCGGCTTTTGGTTGTCTTCCGATTTCTTCAGTTCTCCCCCCCCCCACCACCAGATCCAGCGCAGCTTACTCGGTAAACGATCCCGGCATTCTCTTGTGTTGGTACAATCCATTGTCTGTATGGGAAGCAATCTAGTTTGGGTGAGAATTTTCATACTGTTCCTACCCAGAATCCAGTGGATCCTCTGACTACATTTAAAAAACGCGCACAGTCATGAATCCACTACAACGGGCGCTCATCGAGAACGAATCTATACAAGATTTGCTTCTTGATGAGTTCCAGCTGTCAATCCTTAAACTAGAGGTATTCATTTCCAGATCTCTAGTAATCAGCTAAACTCTATCACGACAGGGAGGTCTAAGTTTGCTATACAGCAACTTAGCATTTCTGTCAACACTCTGAACGTTTTCTACCTGAGGCGATTCACCGGCAACCACCAATTTGATTTATTATTCCTTCAACGCCTGTTGCAACTCCTTTGTCGAAGGCTTGAAGAGGTTCTAACTCTGCAGCAATAAGCATTAGGTACTCATTATTCTCAATAAACGTAGGTAATGAAAAAAAATTCAGATGTGAATCACTTACGCACTGCTGCCCATGGCCAAATCCTGCGATAGTTAAGCAGGAGCCTTCGACTGCTCTTTCGATCAGTTCAAATTCACATAGCGGTGGAGTCGCGGAGGCTACGACCGTCAGCAGACAGACCGTAAAGTGAAGACACGTCGGCAGTCAGAAGCGGGTTCATAAGTTTTCTTTACGGCATTGGTTTACAACTTCGAAATAAACTAACAATTCGTTTCAAAGCCAGGAACAGACGAAATAAAAAAACAAGCTACATTCCAAGGTAGTTTTTTCTGTTCAGCTTAAACAGCTGGAGGGAAAAAAAGCAACGTGAAATTTGATTTACTGAAAAACTTGTTCCGGTACCACCCTGAGTAGCAG